TTTCGGATTTATGGAGACTACTCAATGGACTCAGGTGGGTACAAATTAATTCATTTATCTGCACCACTTAATTAATTACTCCTATTTGCTTAAGAAAAATGTTGAATTTTAACCTCTTAGTTTAAATTTTTTTATTTTTCAAATTAAAGTGGTCGTTCTCTTAACACATCAAAGCAGTGCACTTTTTCTTTCTGCCTCTTTCCACATGATAGCATATGGAAAAAGGTGTTCTTCGTTATTATTGTTGTTCGCTTTTTTAGTTTCCTTCAATTTAATTTTAAAATTGAAAGTTATCCAGTTTGGCGTTTGTCATTCAGTACTTTGGCTAACATAAATAATCTTGCTATCTTTTTTCTCTGGTTCCCTTTTTTTGTGTGTGTTAAATTTTCAGGATATTGGAATAGTGAAATCCATGGCAGCAGAAATAGCTGCTCCTAATGTTACAGTGGAAAAGAAGGTGAGGCCAGTTAAGGATCAAGCAATAAATTGTCCAAGATGTAATTCAACAAATACAAAGTTTTGTTACTACAACAACTACAGTTTGACTCAACCAAGATACTTTTGCAAGACTTGTAGAAGGTATTGGACTGAAGGTGGAACTTTGAGGAATGTTCCAGTTGGAGGTGGTTCAAGAAAAAACAACAAAAGATCATCTTCTTCTTCTTCTTCATCGCAAAAGCTCCCCGATCTGAACCCTAATCCGAGTTTTTCTCCTCAAAACCCTAATAAGATTATTGTTGGAAATAGCTGCCAAGATCTCAACCTCGGGTTCCAAACTGTGTCACATGATCATCATCAGTTCCATGGTGTGCCTCAGTTTCTTGAATTGCCAAAGATGGATAGCAGCAATAATGGTAACAATCATCTAGGTACTCATCTCTCTTTGTTGAAAGCTACGATCATCTCATTTAAAAGATTAATTGTTTGAGAGAACACACTTTTATTTATTTAATTATATTTTTAACAAGCACCTTCACATGCGGGCCTTAATTAGTCTTTTTCAGGAGCCAAGCATGTAAAATAATTTTTAATAATGAGGTCTCCGCATGCTCTGATATCATATTCATGAAGTGTGATTCCATTACATCTAAAAGTTTAAACTGTTAAAAAGAATATATTTTTACTTACTTGATTATATCTTCAACAGTCTTCATATCGTCATGGTATTCAACTTCAGGTAGTACACCAATATCAGCTCTGGAGCTGCTTAGGACCGGAATAGCCTCAAGAGGGTTTACTTCATTCATCACGTCGCCAGCACCACCAGATTTGAATACTTTATACACATCAGGGTTTCCATTTCAAGAATTAAAGCCTCGTGCTGGTAGTAATGATCATGCAGCAGCTGCCTTAAGTTATTCAAATGGGGTTCAAGAAAATGGAGGTGCAAGAATAATGTTCCCTCTAGGAGCAGATCATCATCATCATCAGAGTAAAGGACAGGAGAATTCAACTGCAGGATATTGGAATGGGATGTTAGGTGGAGGATCCTGGTAAATTTTTAAGGAAACGATAATTAATGTGCAGAAATCTCACTTTCAAATGCTTTTTCTTTTCCTTTTTGGGAGTGTCTTTGTTCAATCTTTTCACATGCTTTTGTTACTATAATTTGTTTGGTGATGTTTAGAACTAAGTACTAACATAGAAGACAGCTAGTTCTGGTGCTATTTTTCTTAATTTGCTCTACGATTTCTTTGAGATTAGGGAAGCTAGCTTGATTAAAGTCAGCTTCTAGGGTTTCTGTACTAGTACTACTATATATGATCATAATTAACCACCTTAATCACCGCCTATTTATTAGCTATATTGTATTTTAGATGAACTTTGCCAACAAGGACCTTTTCTTTTTGTTGTTTAATTTTTATTTCTTCTGTTTTCTTTTACCCTAATTAATTGTGCAAAGAGATTAATATTGTTTAATTATAACAGATATAGCTTATTGCTGGAAGTAGCTAATTATGACATGGCCTGGTCTTTTTCCTTTTTGTTATCCAGTTCTTGATAATCACTTTAGCACTTCATTCTAAATTTAACTGAAAATTTTGGCGAAGAAAAGGAAAATAGATGGAAGCAGAAACAAGAAACTGATATATTCTTGTGTGAATAATTTGGTTAATCATGTTTATGCTTCATGAAGATTGACATTGAGATCTTCATGATAACACCGATTAATGAAACTTAACCATTGTAATTGACTTTTAATTATCTACTTAATAGTGTCAAAAAATCTTATCACATTTAGTGTGTACATTTATACGAACGCTAAAACTGTATGTATTCAAGGAGTTTGTTAATTTACACCATGGATCGGAGCAATCATATCTTTTTTTTTTTGGTGATTGGAGTACACAATATCATTTGTTCCTGCTGCTATGAGGGCATGCTATAATAATGACTTAAATTTTACATATACTAACTTTTGAAACAATTTACACTACATATCAAGGAAGTTTAATTATCGGTTCTGACATATTATAGTTTACCTTATGTTATAGGTTTATATATATATATATATCNATATATATATTAAATAACTTGATAGAAAGATTTTTACGCCATAATTAATATATAGAACTTATTTATCAATTTTCAATTTAGTACAAAAGTACCTATTTTTAGGCACTTCAAAACGTTGCAAAGTTATATGGCAGGGTTGGGCATAGTTTGGGCAAATCTAAAATCCAAACCGAAATTCGAATTTTTAAATTTTTTGGTTTGGAGTATTCGGATTACGGATTGGATTTTGGATTTGATTTTAAAATTTCTTGGATTTCGGATTGGATATTAAAATTTGGTACTTCAGATTGAATATCCAAAAATTTAATTTTTTTATACTTTAATTTATATTTAGTCCATTATCCATATGTCAATAGTAATAAGTTCAATTCCCTATCCATTAGATATTATCTCATATAGTCAATATTAATTATTAAGTTAATGTCGCAACTTTCTATTTGGTTATGATTTTACTATTGCTACTTCTTATCGGCCGTATTAATATCTCTGTTGTATTTTTTTTGATAATAATTTTTTACTTGAATACTCTATTTGGATGATTGCAGCAAGAATGATGAACTTTTCAGGCAATTTAACATGAGTATTTAATTTGGATATTCATTTTTTGTAAAAGTAGAAACATCTCAACTTATACGCTCAAAACCGAGAACCCATAATATCCAAACCGATTATTTCGAAACCGAACTTAAAAAATCTGATCAAATCCGAACTTATTTGGATTGGATTTGAATTATTATTTCTTCAATCCGAAAATCAAAAATCTATAACTAAATTCTCATATTCAATCCGAACTCCCGAACGCCCACCCCTCGTGGTGCTAGCTAGCGACGTTGCAATATTAAGTTACAACTCTTAACTTGCAAGGATAGGTAAAGGGCGGCCATCTTACCAATAGTAGTTTGAAACAATACTAGTAGATCGACTATTATTGAAAGACAATGAAAAAAATTGAAGTGCTTCAGTCTAACATTGAAAAAATAGTAGTAGTATTTAACAACGCCACTAAGCAAATTGTAATTTTCAAATAAAAAGGAACCTACCTGCTACCACAACCAATACCTAATCCTTTTTCTTTTAATTAATTACCTTTTCTTTCAGTTCCTAACATACCCGACTATTGTAGGGGCCACCGTTTAAAAACGATTTAATTATACAGTCATTGATAGTATGCAAAATTTTATGGTATTAGTGCAAAGTTAAACGATTACGACATACTACATTTTTAAGTTTATTATTTCAAGCCAAAAAAAGAAAAAGTTATTATATCACGTTTACAAATACTTGTAGCTTGTCTTTTACATAAGCTGATAGTAGGAGCGTACATAGGTCGGATTGGTTCGGATTTTTCAATTATCAAACCAATTCAATTGTGTCGGGTTATTAAATCTAAAAACCAAACCAAACCAATAAAAATCGGATTTTTTAGTTTCGGTTTTTATCGGATTTTCGGGTTTTTTCGAGTTTCCCCCCCTAAAGTCTTCATAGCATAAAATATAGAAATTGTGCTCCAAATATTTCTTTAATCCTAGTAAGACAAAACTATATAAGGAATTTTTCAAAAAAATAAAAAATAAGATGAGTCATGGCATTGTACTAAAATATTCAACAATAAAGATAATAAAATAACATAAAATAAATATTATTAATAAGCCATAACGAAAATGAACATAATCTAAACTTACTAAGTTATTAAAATAAGTATGACTAATAAGTAGTACTAGTTAAATGCACTAAAAATTATGCATTTTATCTAAACCATGGAAAAACTAAAAAAATAGATACCCAACACTATTGTCATTCCTAATACAATTGAATTGAATATCATTTTTTAGCATTAATGTTGATTTGGTTTTGGTTTAACATTTATTTGAGTTACTAATATTTATGCGGTATAAAACTTATTGGAACATTCAAAAATTATAAATCCAAACTTGAAATAATACGTTAAAAGATATAATTATGAAAAAGTTTAAGAAATATTTATAAACTACATTACAATATATATTTTTATATTTATTAAATATATCTAAAACTTTTATACATGTAATGTCAGGCTGATTTAGTTTCGGTTTGACTTTTTTTTTAATTAAAATCAAACCAAACCAAATATGGTCGTTTTTTTTTTCTCCAACACCAAACCAAATCAAACCAAACTATAGTCGCGTTTTTTTTCTCGGTTTGACTCGGATTATCGGTTTTGCGGTTTCTTTTGTACAACCCTAGCTGACAGTATAAAAGAAGTTTTACGCTATTAATATGTAAGAATTTGAATTGATTATGAAATATTTGAAGATAGATCGAACTTCCATCCATTTGGTTTGGGTTGAGATATTCCGTTGTATTAGGCTAACTCATTTTACTTTATATAACGCATTCAACTCTTTGAATTTATGAGAGCAATTGTCATTGGTGTCAAAATGTCATGGTTTCCCACCATAAGCTCAAAAAAAAAAAAGATATTAAAATGGTAGTATAGTTTACACTTTACAGACTACAAACATTATAGTAACATGGATTGAACTAATTATAGTATTCTCATGTAACAGTACAAGGTAAAATTACACTGTACAGAAAACTTGTTACATTTATTGCTTCAGTATATCTAGAGAAGCACCTGTGAAAAACATTAGCACTAAAGAAGCAAAGTACTCTTTCCTGGTCCTGACTTCTATACAGAGACGAGCTTTACGCAGAACAGCAGAAAGCTTAGATCTTGAAAAACAACAAACTGAAAATAAAAAAGAACCATTCATGGATCCTCATTAATTCCGAAGATTCGGACCTTGTGCATATTGGGGAACTTGGCAATAACCAGCACCATCACAGCAATGGTATTGAAGAAGAGCATTGGATGTTGGTAATCAGTTGTATGTGAGGCTATCAAATACCTGCCAGTACAAGAAGTTGGCTAAGAAATTTCAGAAGTAAAATGTCATCTATATATATATATATATATATATATATATATATATATATATATATATATATATATATATATATATATATATATATATATATATATATATATATATATACGTTAGGGACGAAAAGAAAAGGGAAGTAAGAACTACAGTGAATTGCAGAAGACATCCCCCAAATTCTCACTTTATGTTAGCAATCTGCTGAAATACCAAATACCAAAATTTTGGGCTAAAATCATCTTGTACGTGGCATGTAGGTTTCTTAGATGGGGAAAAAAGTAACTTTAACATCTTCTTTTGCTTATACATACACAAAACTTGCTTTAGTTCAAACTACGTTTCTCTACTGCTATATGCTTGGCATGCTATATTGCATACCCATGGAGTCGGCACCTCGTATTCCGCATGCCTCGGATGCATGGCAACGGTAAATCTCAAATATCAGGACCAATATAGAAATAATATACATACAAACTCACACATATACAGATATTGATAAGGAGAAAAAATTTCCGTTATACATAACATATTTGAGAAAATGCAATAGTAAAAAAAATTAACCACTAAGAAACAGCAAAAGTTGATAAATTCCTCTACCATTAAAACAAAAGGCATATGAACCATTGCAATAGTTAGATTATAACAGTAATAACTAATCAATGTTAACATACTAGGAAAAAATGTGATATATTTATATACAAACCATTCTGATATCAAGAGGGGTTGTAAAACCTTTTTTTTTATGTTAAGAGAGGTTGTAGAACTATTTGATCGCTCATTCTGCAGGTTTTTCATTGCAATAATCTAAAAGAATTAATACGTAAAACTGAGTTTATCAAGAGAGATATGTTTCAATGCTTTCTTCTCCTCCTTTTCTAGTCTTTTTTTCTCTGTTTCTAAATTTGATTTCTCAAAAAAAAGTAGAGCCCTTTGTTTGAGACTCAAATTGAGTTACTTTTCTTCTCTAATCTTAGTTTCTTTTCCCACATCTTTACAAATATGTTGTATGTGCCAACTTATGTGCACCTTGACTAAATTCACCGGGTACCTGCTAGGCTGCTATCTCCCACCACCCACCACCCACCAGCACACCAGCACAGATACCTAGTAACTATGTCTATTAAGGCTTAAGACAAATGAGAAGAAATAACCTAGTTTTATTTGTCTCCAATGAGATTTGAACCTGAAACCTAAGAGTCTTGCAGTTTCGAAAATTGTCAGACTCTTAATGGACACACATGGATACACATTATAAATCTTTGAAGGATTTGGGAAAATATTAAGCGTCCAACACTTCATTAGAAGACTCAAACCTGTGAATTGGGAATACCATTTAAATTTCCAATTATTTTATTCTGGATTAGTTGAATGATTGTCATTGTTTGGACAACATTGTTTCATAAGGCTCATTTTATAGAACTAGATATTACCCGCTTTAACATAGTTTTCACTGCAGAAAATAAGAAACCATATGTCTCTAGAGTTCAAAATACTATGAGAAAGATGAAATCAAGTTCCACCTACACTTTATATAAACAGTAGAAAGAACAACTTTGATCATGAATTGTAACAAGCCTAAAATGACTAAATCTGTATCCAGCACTAGAAGTGAGAGTGGCCTAAAACAACCACAGCCCCCTCCCCCCCCC